TAGCCATCTGTCTGAAACTGTATAGGGTTTCCTGCCTAGGTAGGGGGTTGGACTAGAAGACCTCCAAGGTTCCTTCCAACTCTGCTATTGTATTATTGTATTGTATTGATTTAGGTGCGGTAGTTAGTGGATTTCTCACCCAGTAGAAAAATCATTAACAAATTGCTGTAAAGTAAATGGTAAATTTTCTAGCAGATGGCTAAATCTGCCATTCTAGCAATTAATGTTTGCTTCTTCCCCCAGTGCATGTTTGGAGATGCAGTTGGTGGATGGTGTTTTTTTTTTCACTGAGTGGAAAATTCACTAATTTCTACACCTTAATTTGGCCTAAATTCTGTACGCCAATGTTTCTCAGCCATTTTAAGATGGGGGGATTCTGGGAGTTGAAGTTAAAGTTGGTGAGGTTGAGAAATATTGCTGTGGACTGTATCACTTGCCTGGACATATTGTCATGTAAAGCAGACACTGGAAAATGTTGGCTGACATACTTCCATTGCCTCACAGACTGCAGTAAACCACCTTATAAATAGGTTCTCTAAATGTGTCCAGTATTAGGTCCTCAGAAAAGCTATAAGCAGAGAAGGCACAGCCACTGCAGCAAAGATGAGTTGCTACTGGTTTACGCCGGTTCGGATGAAGCGGTAGTAGAAATCACAATTGGGTTGCCGAACCGGGAGAGACAGCAGGCTGACCACGCCCCTGAACCAGTTCCCCGGTTGCCCATGCCATTGCCAGCATGTTTTTTACTCCTTTTTTAATGTTCTGCGCAATTTATAGGTAACTACGCAGCGCACGCAACAAACCAGCAATAACACACGCAGCAACCCATCCCTGCACTCCAGGCATCAGTATATCATATGCAACTTTAACTGCTATAATGGAAATGACCTTGAGGGATGAGAAGAGGAGATACTGTCTAGGAAACAATCAGATAAGAGAGGGAGAAGCAAACCCCCCAGGGGCTTAATAGCTAAAGGAAGAAATTTAAGAAGGACCTGCCCTAATTGACCTGGCAGTTAAAAGTGGCTGTGGGAGATTTGTTCCTTCAGACTTGCAAGATTCTTTTAATGTTGTCTTACAATAAAGGTTTTGCTTGTGTTGTTGCCTTTCCTATCTGGGTTACCTTTAAGGCTTGACAGCTGCACTTCTAAACACTCTACAGGGGTGGCTTATTGTAAAATGTAGTACAGGGATATTTGGTGTAAATGTACTTATTGTATTTTTCAGAGTATAAGACGCACCAGAGTATAAGACGCACCAAGGTTTTGAAGAGGCAAATTTTTAAAAAAAGTTTTTGCACTCTGCAAACCTTCCCAAAACGGCTTGTTTTTCATGAAAATGGGCCCGTTTTTCCACCCCAAAAAAGCATGAATAGCCTTTAGGGGGCTTGCAAAGTGTACCTGGGGGTGGAGGCCCTCCAAAATGAGCGAAAAATGGTCCATTTTGTGTCAAAAAAATGCATGCATAGCCTCTAGGAGGCTTATAGAGAACTCCTGGGGCCTGGAGTGGGGGGCAAAATTGAGCAAAAAGTGGCCCGTTTTTCCCTCACTTCTGCCTTCCCCAGCCCCCAGGAGCTCTCTGAAAATCTCTGGCCATTTTGGTGAAGGGGCGGGGCTTCTGGAGGCAAAAATGGCTGTATTCAGTGTATAAGATGCACCTAGATTTTCAGCCTCTTTTTTGAAGGAAAAAGGTGTGTCTTATACTCCAAAAAATACAGTAAGTTTGCTCTGTTAAGGCTCTTTCTAAGCCATGGGATGGATGCAGATCCTTTTGGCTGCCCTGCATCCTGCCTGGTCAGGTGACAAGTAGCCTTGAAACTAAGTAGCTGTATCTATTCTATTCTATTTATTAAATCTATAGGCCGCCCAATCCCGGAGGACTCCAGGCGGCTTACAGAAATAAGAATATTAAGAAAAGATTAAAAACAAATAAAACACAGCAAATTAAAAGAAACACAACATGCACCCAGTCTAAGCGGGGCTGGACCTCAATCAAGAGGTCAACAGCCCCAGGCCTGCCGGAANGAAACGAGTAAAAAATGGCCTATTTTTCGCAAAACCAGCCAGTTTTTTGTCAAAAAATTGCATGCATAGCCTTATGGAGGCTTATAGAGTGCTGCTGAGGGTTGGGGAGCAAAAAACAGCCCATTTTTTGCTTGTTTCTGCCCTCCCCAGCCCCCAGGAGCTCTCTGAAAGCCTCCGTAATGATATTCATGGCCATTTTGTTGAAGGGGCGGGGCTTCGGGAGGTAAAAATGCTGTATTCGGTGTATAAGAGCACCCAGATTTTCAGCCTCTTTTTTGAGGAAAAAAGGTGCATCTTATACTCCGAAAAATACAGTAAGTCACATTTTTTCAGTGCCGTTGTAACTTTGAACAGTCATTAAATGAACTGTTGTAAGGCGAGGACTACCTTTATCATTGTCCCATGGGTTTTCTGTGGGGCAAATTAAGGGCAAGGCCAGACTTTGTTCAGTGTAAGCTAAACCCGCTTCACAATCTGAAGGGGCCTTCCAAAATTTTCAGATTTTTTAAAATGGGATTCAGTTTTATTATTTCGTACATGAAAATTTCCACAAAATTAAGCGCTCCTCTGTAGCTCATCTGACCCTCATTACTAGTATAGATAGGCTTTATTTCTGCTTCCATGCATTCAAACTGGGACCTTCCAAATCCTATCATGGGTTTCTTAGGTTTTCTGGGTGACATTGTTGCCAAATTCAGTTGCTACATAGTCTTATTCTCTGTTAGTGCTTGTCAAGTAGACTCTCTACAATTTGCCATGAGTTGGTATCTCACTATGTCTAAATCCTCAGGGGCGGGGGCAGCAGGGATGTGGCCATTTTCACTGGCAGAGGGTAGCAGAAGGCCATGGCAGTCAAAAACGGAGCTTGGGAGAGCAATATGCGGCCCTTCCGAACTCTGTTTTCACAGGCAGAGGCACTGGGGGCCGGTCATTCACTGTTTTCATGGTGGCCCCATGGGCCAGACCTAAGCATCCCATAGGCCAGATTTGGCCCAAAGGCCTTGAGTTTGACACCCCTGCTTCATTGATTTCAATGATTCCAATATCTATGGGGTTGCAACAAAGAAGAGGGAGTCAAACTATTCTCCAAGGCACCTGAGTGTAGAACAAGAAGCAATGGGTGGAAACTAATCAAGGAGCGAAGCAACTTAGAANACACTCTCTTCAGACACACCCCACAATGGTTATTAAAATACAATAATACAATAATTAAATTAAAAGTGGGCACATTCTCTCTCATATACTCATACACCCAACAAACCAGCTAAAAAATACAGTTCCTAAATCCTCAGGGAAGGCACTCAGTGCGAGTCCAAGGCGGCTGGAGCCAGTAGTAGTTTGGGGGGGTTCCTCGTTCTTCTCCCCTGTGGGGCCTGGAAGTAGTGTAGGAAGTCTGAGGCGGCTGGGGCAGCTGGTGATAGTTGGGGGGCAGCTCCCCGTCCTCCTCGTCCTTGTCCCCCCTCTCTGCGGGGGCCGTGTGTCACAGAGCAGCATGTAAAGCAGTTGGTATGGCAAAGGTTCCCCATGGCCTTGCTCTGGCAGGGTTTGTGCTGGTCTTGCAGTGGACAGTGTGGCTATGACCAGCACAGCCCCCAAAATAAGACACTTCCACGTAAACATCCCCCTTCTCCAGCTACTAGTCAGCAACAGAATTCTCAGAATCCATGAGGGCTTGTGCTGGCCAGCACAGCGTTGTTTCCTTCTTCCTTGAAGTTCAGGTCTTCAGCTACTCACTCGGACGGGGGAGGGGGCCCTCCCGGGTGCAGGCGAGCCTTTCAAGGAGGGTGGAGGGGAGAAAGTCCTGCGAGGCTGATGGTCCCAGATGTTCCCTCTGCTCCACAGGACCAAAACCGACTCCGGCGCCGCTGGGAAATAAGAGGCGAACCACGCGTGCTCTTCCTCCGCCTCGTCGTCATCCTTGTCTGGGCTCAGAGTCCGGGCTCCATTGGTGGCGAAGGAGGCCCCGCAGCAGCAGGGCCTAGGCAGCTGCAGCAGGGAAGCCCTGAGGCTACAGGTGGAGACATCACGCAGGTGGAGGAGCTGCCTTCCGCATCGTGGTTCTCGGCGGAGGAGACGTAGGTGAGCAGGAGGAGGCCCAGGTTCTTGGCCAGCGACAGGGCCAGGACAGAAGAAATGCAGGCCCTAAATCAGCGGTGTCAAACTCAATTTCATTGAAGGCCTCATCAGCATTATGATTGCCCTCATAGTCTTACATGCAACTGGCCCTTTGAGGGAAACCATAATGCTGATGTCGCCCTCAATGAAACTGAGTTTGACACCCCTGTTTTAGAGAGTCATTGAGGCCACCTGGAGATTGATCTATATGAATAAAGTACTGTCGACCAGGGCTGAGGTGGTGGGGGCCAGCCCCTCAGCATTTCCAGGGTGGTCCTGTGGGCCAGATCTGACTACATCGTGGGCCGGATTTGGCCATGGGCCTTGAGTTTGACATGTCTGCCTAAATGAATTTTGCCCCATTTTATCTTTGAAGGTCATACAGAGAGTTCTCAACCTATGACCACAACTGAACTCAAAATTTATGTTGCTAAGCAAGACATGTGCTAAGTGAATTTTGCCCCATTTTACCTTTCTTGACACAGTTGTTACATGAATCATGCAGTTGTTAAGTTACTAACACGATTGTTAAATGAATCTGGTTTCCCCATTGCTTTTGTTTGTCAGAAGGTTGCAAAAGGGGTTCACATGATCTCAGGACACTGCAATGGTCATAAATATGAGTCAGTTGCCAAGTGTCTGAATTTCGATCACAAGACCATGGGGAAGCTTCAGCGGTCATAAGTGTGAAAAACAGACATACCGTACTTTTTGGAGTATAAGATGCACCGGAGTATAAGAGGTACCAAGATTTTGAAGAGGCTTTTTTTNTAAGATAGAGGAATGTCCTCTATCTCTGGCCTGCCAGAGATCATTGATCAGTGCGACCAAAGCAGTTTCGGTGGAGTAACCAGGCCTGAAACCAGACTGAAAAGGGTCTAGATAATCTGCTTCATCCAAGGTCCGTCAGAGTTGGAGGGCCACCACCTTCTCAACAACCTTCCCTAAAAAAAGGGAGGTTGGAGACTGGATGGTAGTTTTTAAAAATAGCTGGGTCCAGAGAAGGCTTCTTGAGGAGGGGTCTCACCACCGTCTCCTTAAGAGGACGTGGAAGGAATCCCTCCATCAAGGAGGCGTTCGTAATTCTCTGGAGCCAGCCTCGTGTCACCTCCCTGCTGGTTTAGACCAGCCAGGAGGGACAAGGATCCAGTAAACAGGTGGAGGCACTCATCGCTCCCATGGCCTTGTCCACTTCATCAGGGGTGGCAAGTTGGAACTCATTCCAGAAAGTCTGAGCAAGACCCTCCCTCGGCAACTCGGCTGGTTTCCAGAATTTAGATCCAATTTTGAATGAACTTCTTTTAATAAAACTATCCTGTACAAACCATGAGGTTGCAAATGTGATAAATGCTTCCCAAACTGAGTAAATTATTCACAATTGGGTAAAAGTGGTTTTTCTTTGAAAGATGAACTCATTGTTTTTCAGAGTAAATGATTGAGCTTAGGTCAAGCAGTCAGTACAAAATATTATATGAAGAAAAGAAGAACCATCTGGAGTCTTTCTGGTTAACAATTCACAGTGAATATCCTGTATTAGCCAGGGAGGTTGAGATGCAATTATTGCTGTTTCAAAATACCTATATGTATGAAGTAAGATTTTCCATTCAGGCTTTCATGAAGAGCACATAACAAAACTGTTTGCTGAATCTTGGTTTTGGGTAATGAAGGAAAACGTTTGAGAAGCACTACCCTTCTCTATCTGTTTTGCTTTTCTTACAATTATTACAATTATTTGTATCTACTTTCTCATTGAATGATCACACCACTTTTTAGTGAAAATAGGCAGAGTGCATATTATTTACATCTATTAATTGCATGTGCATAACTAAGTTAACATGTGATGCTCACTGGAAACTGACAAAATGGTTAATGTAGTTCATTGGTGGTATAAAAAAAGTAGAGATTATCTTCATACATTAGGCTAAGCTGAGTTAATATTAACCTTGTTTAGCGTTTTGTGACTTGGAAATATTCAAGTCCTCCCAACCAGGTTGGTTATTTGTAGTTCAATGTATAAATCCAAAAAAAATGAGTTCATTTGATCCCTAATTGAAGAATGTTGCATTGTGTATTCAGCCAATGTATTGTGTGAACTCAGAAAATTGCATTAATAATGTCAACCTTGGGCCAATTAACCTTGGATTAGCAATTTGTGCAACACATAGCTGCAGGGTTCATTAATCTCTGTTTTTTGATGTTGCAGATGCAGATGGAATCCTATTTCTTAGGAGGCAAACAAATGTTCTACCTTCATTATTAGGACCCATGACTGCTCAGTCATGGACAAAACACTAACTTCTGATGCCACACAGTTACAGGGTGTGATAGGGTGTGGTGCAAAGTAGGGTAAAAGTGCCTTGCCATATTACGTCTGAAAAGATGTGAAATTAAATTCTCATTGTGAAGCTCACAAAATGACTGGGCAAGCTGACCCGCAGGGGCAGGGAGAGGACAAGGAGGGACAAGAGGAAATTGTGCAGTTTTCTTCAGCTTGCTGCCCTGCAGGAATATTGTAACATGACCCTATTTGCTGGTAATAAGGTGAATCACAAACCCATCAGGAGGGAACGATGTTGTCATATCATTCTCAGCTTCTAAGAAAGAGGTGGGCGACTTTCTGCAGGCTGTTGCAATCCTAAAAAAGGTTTCAGGTCAGGAAGCGATGCAATCCACAAAGCCAAAAAAGGAAATAGAGGTGAGGCTGTGGACAGGAGCAGTGTTTTTCTCCAAGACAAACCCACCCACCCCTGGATTTTAGAGGCCTTTCTTTCCTCTTTGACCATCTTAAGCCTATTGCAGAGCCTCTACTCTCAAGCAGGGAAGGTTAGCCTAGTTCTGAAAGAAAGGACGCCACACGAAAGGTAAACCACCTACATCGGAGTGAATTTGCCCTTTCACCCTCAAGAAACCCCTCCGCCAGCTCTCCTTACGCCCCCGCAGGATGATTGGCAGATGCGGTGGGGCTCCTCACCCGCGACAATAAAGGGACGTGAGGAAAAGCAGCCGCTTTCTGCCCTGACGCGCCCTTTCTTCCTGAATTCAAGGGCGGCTCCGGGTGCGGAGGCCGGCAGGCAGTCACGTGCCGGCAGGCGGCGCTACGGCTGCTCTCGCTGCTCCTCCGCGGCAGCTGCTGCCGCCGCCGCCGCCGCCACCACCACCTCCGGCTCCTCAGTCCCAGTTAGGGCATCCACCGGCGTCGCCTTGTGCTGGGAGCGGCCGCCCGGGAGAAAGGATGCTCGGCTGGGTGCGGCGGCGGCGAAGGCGCAGGAGACGGGGCTTCTCGGGGGCCGCGCGCCTTTTGTAGCCGAAGCCGCCGCCTTCTCCATGGCGAGCGTGGCGGCGGAGCCCCCCGCCAGGTTTGTGCGGCGCGGTCCGGCTTGGAGGAGGAGGAGACGGACGAAGACGGTCAGGGCCGAAGGTGCCCGGGCCCGTTTTTACTCCCGTCTCGCTGCGCCCTAGAAGCGCAACGGCAGTAGCGCCATGGCCGAGATGGAGCGTCCGGAGGAGGCGGCCCGGCTCTGGCGAGACGCCGCCCTGCGCGCCAGGAAGCTGCAGAGCAACCTCCAGCAATTGGAGCTAGAGCTGGGCTCCCGGGGAGAGAGCGGCCCGGAGGCACCGCCGAAGCTGAAATCCTCGCAGCAGCAGCAGCAGCAGCAACAACAACAACCGCCGCCGCCGACCTCGCCGCTGGAGGCATTGAACCTGAGCGGGCGCGGCCTGGATGAGTTGCCGGAGGGCTTGTGCGCTGCCGTGGGTAGCAGCCTGAGCGTCCTCTCGTTGCGGAGGAACCGACTAGCTCATCTGCCCTCGGCCGCCGCCCTTCGGCACCTGGGCCGTTTGGCCGAACTCGACCTCAGCCACAACCGCTTGCGCTGCCTGCGCGACGACGGGCAGGCGCTGGCGCTCCTGCGCGGGCTCCGTAAGCTCAATCTCAGCCACAACCAGTTGGGAGGCGAAGGGACGCTGCCCAGCGGGTTGGGCGAACTGCGACAGCTGGAGGAGCTGGATCTGAGTTTCAACCGCCTTAGCCACCTGCCTGCTGAGGCCCTGGCCCATCTGCGTCAGCTCCGCACCCTGGACGTGGACCACAATCAGCTTTCTGCCTTCCCTCAACCGCTGCTGGAGCTGGATGCCCTGGAAGAGCTGGATTGCTCTGGCAACCGACTCTTGCAGTCTCTTCCGGAGGGCATCACATGTCTTCGGCACCTGAAAATCCTGTGGCTCAGTGGCACTGGCTTGGAGGCCTTGCCCGAGGGCTTGTGCCAGCTGGGTACCCTCGAGAGCCTCATGCTGGATGGGAACCGCCTGAGTGTCCTGCCTGCTGGTTTTGGCAGCCTGCAGCGTCTCAAAATGCTGAACCTCTCATCCAACTTGCTGTCTGATTTCCCAGCAGCTGTGCTGGCCCTTCCTGGCTTGGAGGAGCTCTACCTCAGTCGCAATCAGCTTACCCTGTTGCCCGCTGGACTTTGCCAGCTTTGCCAACTCCGCACGCTTTGGCTGGACAACAATCGCATCCGCTACCTGCCTGATTCCATAGTCAAGCTTCATCAGCTGGAGGAACTGGTACTTCAGGGAAATCAGATCGCCATCCTTCCAGAGGGGTTTGGCCAACTCAGTCGTGTGAGTCTCTGGAAAATCAAAGACAACCCCTTGATCCAACCCCCCTATGAGGTCTGTATGAAAGGCATCCCTTACATAGCTGCCTACCAGAAGGAACTGGCTCATTCTCAGCCTGCCCTTAAGCCCCGCCTCAAACTAGTCCTCATGGGCCTGAAAAATGCAGGCAAAACTCTGCTTAGAAAGTGCCTCATGGAGGAAGAGGAAGAGGAGCAGGTAGAGTCATCTTTTGGTTCAGTTAACAAAAATTTTGAAAGAACCCAAAGCAGGGGGTGCTTCATACAACCCCTGAGAGACCTGCCCCAACCTCTTTCTCCAAAAGCACAGCCAAACCATTTTCCCATTGTGGAACAGCCCGAGGCTTCCCCTTTGTCTGTCTCACCTCTGAAATGTTCCTGTTTAGGGTATAACTCCACTGAGAAGAGGGATGTGTTCAGTCAGCCCCCCAAAGTTATTGGTCAGACCCAGGCAGGAGGCTCTGCTGCTCAGCAGCAGGATGATATCCCATTGTCCCCATCAATTAAAATACATAGAGAAACCTGCTTGGGGAATTATCCCCTGAGGCCTCCAGGCTCACATGTAACAGGGTTGCCAGGCAGCAGCAAAGGTATTGAAGTGGCAGACTGGACAGCAGATGTGGAGAGAAGTCTAACCTTCATTGTATATGAGCTAGCAGGAGACCCAAGTTACGATGTGATCCAGCCGTTCTTCCTCTCTCCTGGAGCCCTGTATGTGTTGGTAGTAAATCTGAGCACTTACATGCCACAGGGTTTTTATCCTTCTGTGGGACACTTTCTTCACTGGCTGGGGGCAAAGGTGCCTCATGCCGTGGTATGTATGGTGGGAACACATGCAGACCTGTGTCCTGAACGGGAGGTGGAGGAGAAATGTTTAGACATCCACCGCCAGATTGCCTGGCAGGAGAAATGTGACTATGAAGGCCTCCAGATTTTGGCCCGGCAGGTGGATGAAGCTCTGGGGCAGGATTTTGATTTGCGCTGCTCTAGCCCCCATGTTGCTTTCTATGGGGTATCAGACAAGAATCTACGGCGCAAGAAAGCTCAGTTCCAATATCTGCTCAACCACCGTCCACAAATCCTCTCCCCAGTTTTACCTATAAGCTGCTGGGATTGTGTTCAGGTCCGCCGATTGCGAGAGAAGCTGCTTTCAGTGGCAGAGCATAGAGACATCTTTCCAAATTTGCACCGGGTTCTCCCAAGATCCTGGCAGATGCTGGAGGAGCTGCACTTCCAACCCCAAGCTCAACAGCTGTGGCTAAGCTGGTGGGACTCTGCTCGACTTGGCCTGCAGGCAGGGCTGACTGAGGATCGTCTCCAAAGTGCACTTTCCTACTTGCATGAGAGTGGCAAACTGCTGTATTTTGAGGAGCACCAGACCCTACGAGAATATGTTTTCCACAATCTGCCCAGGCTCATTGACATTCTCAATGTCTTCTGCCAGCATGATGCCTCAGTATTGCTCCAGAAACTGCTCAGCAGCACCCATATGGATGAGATGAAGGCCACACAGCTCCACCACTATGTGGAAGGATTTCTGCTTCATGGCCTTCTCCCTGCCCATGTTATTCATCTGCTTCTCAAGCCCCACATCCAAAGCAGAGAGGACTTGCAGCTTCTGCTGGAATTGTTAGAAAAAATGGGACTCTGTTACGGGGTTAACAAGCCCAAATCAAAACCCTTGAATGGAGCTACAGCGTGGTACAAGTTCCCCTGCTATGTGAAGAACGAGATGCCTCATGCAGAGGCATGGATCAATGGTACTACCCTGGGTGGGCAGTCTTTTGGGGCAGAACAGCTGCAGATTGAGTACAACTTTCCCTTTATTTTTCCCCCTGGATTGTTTGCTCGCTACAGTGTGCAGATTAACAGCCATGTGGTTCAGCGGTCAGATGGAAAGTATCAGATCTATGCGTACAGAGGGAAAGTGCCGGTAGTTATAAGTTACAGGCCTGCCAAAGGCACCCAACAACCAGATACATTGTCTATTGCTAGCCATGCATCTCTACCAAATATATGGACAGCTTGGCAAGCCATAACCCCATTGGTGGAAGAACTAAATGTACTGCTTCAAGAATGGCCAGGCTTATACTATAGTGTGCATGTCCTCTGTTCCAAGTGCCTTAAAAGAGGGTCACCCCACCCACATACCTTTCCAGGTAAGAAACTTTAGCTGATTGTCAAGATAATGTCTCCTTTGCATTGAGTTCAGTTTCCTAATTCATATATGGGCACTGCCAACTTGTTTTCTTGGCAATGGTACAAAAGTGTCTCACAGTTGTCTTTTTCTGGGATGTTTTTGAATATACAAGTCAAATCTACAGTCTTGGGATTTCCTGGTTATTTTCCATCTAATTAACTCCTATGCTTTTGTGCATTCCGCCAATTATGTGCTGCCAAATTTTAAATCTGCAGTGTTTAGATTACAGTTTGCCAATAAGTGCAGTTAGTTGCCTGTAAAAAGGTAGATATAGGGAGCCATTTACCACATATCTGCATGAATTTTTTGATTAAAATCCCGCCTAGCAAGAGTATGTAGAGGATTACATCATGATAGTCCGATTGTTGCAAAAAGAAGAAAAATATATCCAAAAGTAGGTTTGATGCTCTGTACAGGCAAATTTACTTAATTCAGATGTGGAATTTCAGCACTTCCCAGTGTTCTAATACAGCTGGTTCTCAAGTTATGACCAATTGAGCCTAAAATTTCTGTTGTTAAAGTTGTGTCCCATTTTGCTATCTTTTTTGCCATAATTGATTAACGAATTGCTATAGTTGTTAAGTGAATCATGTGGTCGGTAAGTGAATCTGACTTTGCTTGTCAGAAGCTCATTAGGAAGGTTGCAAATAACAATCCCAGGACCTTGAGATGTGCCAACCATTATAAATACATGCTAATTGCTAAACACCCGAAGTTTGATCACCCGTGACTGTGAGGATGATGTCATAAGTGTGAGAACTGATCATGACACTTTTATTAGTGCCATTGTAACTCTGAACAGTCATTAAATGAAAGGTTGTAAGTCAAGGACTCTGTAAATTGTAGAAATATAATAAAAGTTTTTTGTATTACTTGACATAATAGCATATAGATACCTATAGTAGTTATATATTGAAATTGGTCCACAGTGAAGTAGGTAAAAATGAAGAGTTCAAATTTTTGTGCACTATAGCTTGGCATCTATATTACCTTATCAAATGTCAAATGGATCTACAGTATGTAATAGAATATGTGTAAATGGCTATCTGTTATCTTTTCCCAAAATAACCCTGAAATAGTTTTGGTAACTTCTCCTAATTGATGCATTCAGTAGTTATATTGCTGTGGTAAATTATTGCTTAGTAAGTAATCATTAATATACTCTTTCTTGTTGAGTAGATGCTGTAGCACTGTGAGAAAAGGTTCTAAACTTTATGTAGAATGTAGAATGCAACCTGAATGCTGCTTTATTTTGCTCTGTGACTATTCATTTCCAGGCATTATTCACATTTTGATTGCCGCTGAATCCATATCCTTTTTACAGGTGCTTCTGCAAATTGTTTATGGTTGTGTTTGCACAATATGTTGAGTTAAAATATGGTTGGCAAGGTTGTGGGGAACATTGCTGTTTAATTTATGATTCGTTGTATTGAATCATTGTATGAACCCAGCCAATTTAATTAACTCAGGAAACAGCAATTAAGTATACAGGTTATTCCCTTCCCCGGTGTGTGTGTGTGTGTGTTGCTACTCTACATCTTAATAGGCCTATAATGTTTATGGATCCAAGCCTTGTGCAATGGGCATCAATTAGAAATTTCTTCTATTCCCCAATACTTCTTTTTATACGTTCGTGCCTAAAACAAATTCTTTATATATTGCTACCATGTGGCTTGTGCTGTTTCCAGTGTCACCATGTGATTGACTCCCCATTTAATTTCTCTGTGTGTAAATGGATGGGTGTGTGCTTGTTGCTTTCACCTCAGGCAGTCATAAGTTGTACAGGCCTGATGAATAATATGCAAAATAATTCTGAATGTTTTTGAATGCTCATAAAGCAAACAGCCTCAAAATGTTAAAAAAAAGCAATATTAATTGGTTTTCAAACAGTATAACGGAAGCAAACATATCTCATCAGGACTTTCATCTAAATTGCATGTTAAGGGGAAAATTAAAACCATTAAGTAAAGTGGAGCCTATTTTTTTCTTCTGGAAATTTGATCATATCTTGAAAGAGTTTGTTGAACATGCTCAATATAGGCTTTGTTTATGGATTTATGATATACCTATCATAGTCATTAGATTTCTATCTAGCATTTAAGTATTATACATAACATTCTCTCCTCTTATTTTTCTCTCATTGAAAACCATATGAGGTTCTCACATCTCCTAATCCAGCATTTCCATTACTATACTTTCTCATTGTGTGCTCTCATTGTGCAAAATCTATTTCTGTATACACTTCTAAAGCATTGCATAGCTTTCCTAAGCCAATATAAATAGCTAATGATTTTGATGTTTATTCATTTAACAAGATTTTTGTATTTCTCCAGTCTCTGTATATTGGCAATTTGCACTAAGAGCTCTCTACCCATAAAGCAGACCAGTGGCTCCCCAAGAGCCAGACATAATTATTTTAAGTGCATTGTAGCACAAAATAAAGTGCAACAGATATATCTAAGATGTGGTGCCTTTGAGAGTATGGGAATTACTACAGAGAAAGATGGCTTCTTTCCTATCATGGGGATGAAATCTTAAACAGGCCTGTATATTCTTACCACATAATATATAGAATTTATAGGCAGGATTATAAGCTTGCAGTTACTAAGGGGCAGTTCACAGATCATGCTCATCTTGGGCACATGGTTCAGCATGGAACACACACACACACACACACACACACATACACACACACACACACACTTTAGTTGATCAAAGTAGAAACCCAAAGAGAAAGCTAAGGCAAATTCTGGTACCATTTCCTGGTTGAGGCTGGAGGTAGTGTGCATTATACATTCAGATAGTATGCTAGTGGCTGATACTTGCTATCCACACCTTTGGGGGCAAAAGGTAAATATGTATGTATGAATGTATAAAAGCACTGTATACCATCAATGCTGCCATTGCCTTATGCTAGGCATCATCAGCCACAATATTAAAGCTTTTTGCTCTGCACAACCAGGCAATATCACATATTTTGCAGCTCTCAGCCGTGCCCAAGATTACATTATCTTATAGGCCTTAAAGGGAGCCACTGAGGCATGAATTATTCCTTTTTCTAGCTTAACTCTTCCAGAATCTGAGAAATGGTTGTGAAGACCTCTGAACATAAATTAAGTCAGACTGTGAGTCATTGTTCTGAAGAATTGCAAAATGCTATATCTATCCCATTTTTTAATTGTTTGAGTAGGAGAGACAATCAACCTTCTCTTCCCTCCCCCATACCCGAGACATGACATAGTGTGATGATCACTCTAAATTTTCAGTACAGTATGACAAACTGATTTTCTGATAATGGGTTGTCTTGAATCTATCGCTTTTACATCATGATTGGTACTTTTTGGATTTGTAATGGAGACTTGAATCAGAACACCAAGAGTATTTTTGGGAAACAGAACATAATATGCTGGCAAAAAGTCAAGACAAACATCTGATCTTAATAAGTAATGTGTTTAGAAGGGCTTTCTTTCAGGCCATTCAAGTACTTGAAAATGTGTTTCATTAAGATGGAGAAGAAAAGAATTGAGCAGATTTTACTTTGTTCAAATGGTATGTTTTTACCTTGCTAGAAATGCTGACAAAGAAACATTCAAAAGAGCATCCCAAAGTTGAGGTCATCACATCAAAATATTGTGAGATATCATATTTGAGATGTCCAGGATCATTTTTATCCATTATTTTCAAGGCCTAACTGTACATGTCAATTCCCTAGAATACAACACCTCTTATGGTGTGGTAAAGCAATATGCTGTCTGTATATAGCATCCCAGTATCACATTTGCATCTCTTAATGCCATGAAATTGTTCACTTAAAATTCAGCAATGAAATGGCTGTAAGATTGCAAGAACGGAAATCCGAATGACTTATTTCCCAAAGCTTCCTGCTTTCCAAACTTCACCTTTACGTACCTGGAAAGACTAAAATAAAACCCAAAGAAAATTTGACCATCCCTTTTGGGACATCCTTTTGTATCAGTAGATGATCTCTTGTAGCTCTCTAAAACCTTGAGAGGCTTAACTTCAGTTTCTGAACCTGCAGAGGATGCCCTTCTCTGCTCTAGTGTACAAGGTGAATTATTAATTATTAAAATTATTAAAAGAAACAAGGAGCATAGCTATCCTGAAAAAGTAACTACTCTCTTATCTCATCTGTCATCCATATTATGTGAAGAGAAAGGACTTTAGTTTCTCACAGCACTCACCCTTTCACGCCTAGACTACTGTAACACTCTCTACATGGGGCTGCCCTTGAAGAGCACACAGAGGCTCCAGCTGGTCCAGAATGCGGCCCGTGGGTTGTCACCCACCTAGGTGCTCCCATGTTACACCCCTTTTAGGCGGCTTACACTGGTTGCCCGTTGTTTTCCAGGTGCGATTCAAGGTGTTAATTATGATCTTTAAAGCGCTCCATGGCTTAGGCCCAGGGTACTTGCAAGACCACCTACTGCCACCAGTAGCCTCCCACCGTCCAGTACAATCCCAGAGTTGGCCTCCTCAGGGTGCCTTCGGCCAGACAGTGTCGGCTGACAACCCCCAGGGGAAGAGCCTTCTCTGTGGGAGCACCTTCCCTTTGGAATGAGCTGCCCCCAGAGCTTCACATAATTCCCGACCTCCGGTCCTTCCGGTGCCCCCTAAAAAGTTGGCTTTTCCATCAAGCCAGCCTGGCCTGAATAAAATAAA